ATGTAAGAAATACATAGACCAAAGACAAAAAGATGATCGACTAGTGCTCATTGTTGGCAGTCAGTTTGCTCAACAAGTGGTACCTTCGATTCATAAACTACGACAAGTTTCAGCAATCTATGTAATTTCCATAGACAAGAAAAGCGATGAAAAATGGACAAACGAGTTCTCAAAAGTAAGATTGTTCTGAAAGGTATGAGTCATTTTATTCCACTGATTTAGGTGAAGGCCATTGTTACTGAATCGGAAGAATTGGTTTCTCAAATTGAAACAGATCATAAGAAACAGATGAAGATGCAAGAACCACTGTCGATCAACTTGTTCACTGCAAGTGGCGATGCAGGGAACTCTACAACTGGAATCAATTATCAATTCATTTTCTCGGAATTACTTATTGATTGTCTTCTTCGATTGAAATCTAACGAGACAGACAAAGAGGAGCTCATTTCTTGTTGTGAGAATGAATACAAAGGTAACCATGTAGAACTCGCCAATTTACATGAGTTTCAAAAAGATTACACATCTGCCAATGCTGTGTGTTGGTACACTCGTGAGTCGTTCTTCTACAAGACTCTGAATGCTGCTCTACGCAAGCAAAATATTCATATGATATTCTTGTATCGTTCATTCATTGCCGACATATATCATCAGTTACAGCATTATCAATGTCGACATCCTGTTCGAGTTTATCGAAGCCAATTGATGTCAATCGACGAGCTAGATTATCTCGAAAACAGCATTGGCCAGTTCATTTCTCTTAGTTCATTTCTTTCGACCAGTAAACAGTATGAAATAGCTGATTTTTATATCGGCGATAGGACTCAAAATACTGATTTAGAAAGAGTTCTGTTCGAAATCGATGCTGACCCGAAAGTGGTCTCGACGAAACCGTTTGCTGAAATCAACATCCTTAGCCATTTTCCTAATGAATATGAGGTACTTTTTATGCTTGGTTCGATTTTCTATCTTAAATCTATTCATCGTAATGATAATGATCAAGTATGGATAATAAGAATGTCCTTGTGTAGTGATATTGAACACAATTTGAAGGAAGCTCTTGCAGACATGAAGAAGCAAATCGGCACGGAGGAGACGAATCTGTGGACACTGGGCAAGTTGTTCTGGAGGATGGGTAAATTTGATCTGGCTAAACAGTACTATAATCGTTTGTTACAAGAAATTTCGCCGAATGATTCGTCACTTTTCAGTTTGCATGAAGAACTCGATCTAATCACTTTGGTGCAAGACAAACAACACGAGAGTATGCAATGGCGCGAAAAAGCACTTTTGGTTAGAGCGCAGACTGCAGGAAATGATACAATCAAGGAAGGTGAGACAATCAGAGCTATTTGTAGATTTCATGAATGATGATCAATCTCGATTTAGCGGCGGATTAATAGAAACAGCATTATTTTGAGGGCTATCGAGAGTTGCCTTTTTAGAATTTATGGGATCTTTTTAAAGTTTCAGGATATTTTTTCTATACTCCGTATTATGGAAGCATGATGTCTTTTACAAGATTAATCTAAGTACATATCAATATACATTAATTTATCGTTGAAAAGTTTTTTTCCAGTGAATTTATTCTAAAAAA